AACCTCACTACTAAAAAAAAAAATATACTAAAAGGATGAAGTGCTATTCTCCCCTTTAAATTAGCAAAAAAAAAAAAAAAAAACACTTAAATAATAAAACAATGGTATAGCAAAAACAATAGTCTATATCCTATTACTGAAAGTGTTAAATGACATAACATTTTTGGAAAGTCATTTGATAATATATATCAACTATAAAAGTATTCATCTTCTTTGACACGGTAATTCCATCTAGGATTCTATTATAGGGAAGAAATCACATGCAGATAATAATGAGGTGTTTGTCATTATTATAACAGCCCTAAAATGGGAAAATGGTAAATATAATGATATTTCCTTAGGATTTTTTTTAAGCCCCACATAATCTTCTAAAAGTATGTTTTGAACACTCCAATTTAAAGAAGCAAACTACAAAATTGAATTGGGTGATCCTAAGTTTCTAAGCAAACAATGTTTACTATATGCAAAGAAAAAAACACCAGAAGAAAATGTACCCAAATATTATCAGTGGTTAATTTCTACATGCAGTCCATATTACTTTCATAGCCAGAAAATTATTATTTGCTAAAGGAAGATGAAAGAAGAGACAACCATTGGAGTTGATGGTACACTGACAGTAAATGATCAAGAGAAAGCAAATCTCATGGATCTACTGATGTCCCTCCATCACAGACAGAAAATAAGATCACTATTTTATTTATTTTTTATTTATTTTATTTTTTTTGAGACAGAGTTTCGCTCTTGTTGCCCAAGCTGGAGTGCAATGGAGTGATCTCGGCTCACTGCAACCTCTGACTCCTGCGTTCAAGCAATTCTCCTGCCTCAGCCTCCAGAGTAGCTGGGATTACAGGCATGTGCCACCATGCCCCAGCTATTTTTTTGTATTTTTAGTAGAAACAGCGTTTCACCATGTTAGCCAGGCTGGTCTCGAACTCCTGACCTCAGCTGATCCACCCACCTCACCTCCCAAAGTGCTGGGACTACAGGGGTGAGTCACCACACCCGACTGCAGAGATCACTATTTTCTGATGCTGAATATAGAATTTTGTAATTATAAGTTGGTGAGTTCAACATTAATGCTGGCAGTGTTCTAAAATGAGTTATTTAATGGAACTTTGTATGAACCTAAAAAAAGGAAACCACCAATCAACCAGAACATTGTGGAGTCACTGTCAACATTTCAGACAACTTCCTTTTTGGATGAGCTCTTTGGCGAGGTGATGGAGAACTTGTCAACTGCTAGATGACATCAAACAGAGAACTAGTGAATCTACTATCAGGATCAAGATCCTGAGAGATGGGGACAAGTGGCTTAAGAAGTCACTTCTGCTTCTTGAATAAGATAATGAATGAGGTAATAGAAAGCAAGGTGATTAAATAGTACCAAGGGAAGCTACCTAGGAATTTTAGCAGGGAAGCAGCATGATCCAGGATCATTTGAGACATAAAAGCACCACCCAGGCTCCTCTGTGAAAAAGGGATTCAACAAGAGCAAAAAAGTAAATGAGGAGACCAGTCAGGGTCAGACTAGACAGTAGATGCAGAAAGGAAGAGAAGACATTTACAATGTATGTTTTGCAGGTTATCACGTATTCTATTTCATAACTCAAATTTACACATGTGGGAAAAATGCCTTCCAGAAAGACCAAAGTATACAAAGTAGAGATCACTTACCAGGATACTGGACATATTCACCTCAATCCAGTACCAAACCAAATCCTACAAACACTTCAGGCTACTTCCAGGAGTCCCCAAGTCTTTTCATTTAATTAAGCAGTACTTGAACTCAAATTACACTTAAGCTTCCAACTTAGAGTGGTAAAGGAAGCCAGTTTTTTTTTTTTTTTCAGAGTGGTAAAGGAAGTTTTCAGAGTGGTAAAGGAAGCCAGAGTTTTCAGAGTGGTAAAGGAAGCCAGACAGTGAAGTAGAAACCTAGAAGTTAACTGGGATGGCCGGGCGCGGTTGCTCAAGCCTGTAATCCCAGCACTTTGGGAGGCCGAGGCGGGTGGATCACGAGGTCAACAGATCGAGACGATCCTGGTCAACATGGTGAAACCCCATCTCTACTAAAAATACAAAACATTAGCTGGGCATGGCGGCGCATGCCTGTAATCCCAGCTACTCAGGAGGCTGAGGCAGGAGAATTACCTGAACCCAGGAGGCGGAGGTTGCGGTGAGCCGAGATCGCACCATTGCACTCCAGCCTGGGTAATAAGAGCGAAACTCTGTCTCAAAAAAAAAAAAAAAAAGAAGAAGAAGAAGAAGTTAACTGGGATGAGTACAGGTAATACTTGGTTTCCCTGCTTTAACTCAACTGCAAGCCAACTTGTTCTTGGAACGTTTTTCCTCTCTAAAGGAACCATTCTGGAAGAGAAGCACTCTGCTTAGCATATGCTCTGTTAAAGGCTTCAGTTAAACACACACACCCTCAGAAAGAAATATGTGCAAAGCATTCCAGATTATGCATGTGCATCTGTCTCCTTAAATTGCACTCCAGAGACTAAAGCAGAACACAGAGGCTGCCATGGATATTACACAGTCTACAGTCAGTGAATGAATGACTTCCATTGTTACAAAAAAGCAACTGTACATTATATATGCATACAGTTCTTTTCCTCTTAAAATAAAACTCTACTACCCACATGGTAAATATTGCTTTAAACACACAATGGGCCAAATAAACAAACTTTGTATATACTCCTTGCAAACCCAAGACATGAAACCATGAAATAGAAGGCAATTTACCTATAGTTTCACCAGAGTATAATGAAGCAAATAATAAAGATGAATATGACTAGTAACAACTACATATTTAACTCTGCATGCTCTGTAAGTAATCTTGTTCTCTTTTTCATTTAGACTGTTAAAATGAACTTTGCTCTAAAAAATGTAAAACAAAAGGAGGAATTATTTCACATCCAGGAATCATTTAACTTTGACTGTTATTCTTTTCAGCTTCTTTAGAATTGTAATTATTTATTATAATATATATCTATACAACTACATGACCACTGTCAAAAATGATCCTATTCCTTCTTAAGTCCTTCCATGTTAAGACGGCTCCTCTAAGAAGGCTTCCCTTGCCCTTGAGGGCAGTGCTGATCCTCTAGCCAGTCTCCCCCTCTACCCATCACACCTTGCACATGTCTCTATCATACGCTGACATATTTACAAATGCCTCCCCTTCCAGACTGTGAATTCCTGGATGCTCCCAGCACTCAACACAGAGCCTGGCACATGAAAGATTCTAAGTGCTTGCGGAATAAAATAAATGAATAAATGAATCAGATCCATCCAACTTCTGTAATTTCTGATTTTTTTCACTGGCATTATTCCAAATGTTAATGACCCGTCCAATTCAATAACACTTCAGACAATTTTCCATTTCCCCCCAATTTCTTCCCATTTCCAGACAAAGGGGGATTTCTGACTTGAAGTACTGCACTGTTTAGAGAGTATTGATAAACATCAATTTTAAAAGTAAGTGAAAACATTTCTTGCGACTCAGGTTTACATGTGACTTTGTGCCAGGTTTCTTTGTATACAGAAAAGATCTTGTCTCCCCCAAATTCATATTCCATAAGAAAGTGGCATCCACTGCCATGTCACCCTATCATTTTTGCTACCGACATCCACATCAGATATCACTTTTACAAAGGACCCGCCTCATCATAAAAGAAGAAAGAATGCCCTTGGCAAGGGCAGAGTCCACGAGTTAAATTTGTCCTTCTGGAATAAATTATTTAGTACCACTTAAATTCTGAAAGCTTTGAGCCACCTATCCTGTGGTTTATAGCACTGTCTTCTAAGTTTACAATTTCCTGATTGCGAAAGGACAATTCAATCCCCTAGTGCAAAATCAATACAATTTAAATTTACTGTTGGAACTGACATTCTCCAGCAAACTAAAAGACTTCTTCTTCCAATGACATGAGATAATTTTAAACTGCTTTTACAAAAAAGTACTCAGGAACTATTCCAAAATGTAGGAATGAATTCTTGCTGGATATAAAGCAATTGCCCCTACCCCTCTTATATGAGTGGGCTCCCTGGAGCCACCTGAGCTACGGCCACTCTGACCTAGGTTTGACCTGTTACCGGCCTACATTTCAAATGGAAGTTCTTTCAGCAAACGGCAAGGAGCTGTGGTGGTAGTAACAGCAGATAGCCAATGGGATTTTAAAACATATTTTCAGTCCTTTAGGATTTTTATTAGGCAGTGAAGTCAATCATCATTTTCATTCTAAATTAGATTATCAGTACAACTACTGATACATCAGTTAACGTTTCCAATGTTAATTTACTGAACTGATCAGGGACCATTCGCTTCTGTTGATTAGCAAAAACTGGTGTTGTTTAAAACACACCAGTGTGTGACGAATCCATAAGCTACATCTTTTTCTCTAACAAACAAAACAGACTGGAAAAGGCAAGAACCATCATTCAACCTACAGTGAATATTGATCATCCCTTCTGTGTAAGGCTCCTTGCAGCTGCTACACTGAGGATGAGGATGGTGACTGAAAAGGCCGAGTCGAGTGGGCCTGATCCCCTACATTTAACAAGCTTCCAGGCGCAGGAGCCCATCTGCCTGCAGCTCGTTTTCCTTGCACCTGTCACCGAAAGGCTTGTTTCCCTTTCAACTGCTCTGAGCAGCCAACAGCTAAAAGAAAAAGCCTCGCGCCAGGAGAACGAAGCGTTGATCAACAGCCAGTTGCTATCAGACAACTGAGGTTCCCTCCCGTCCACCCCTGTGTGTACTGTGAGCCCCCAAACCAAGAGGTCAGATCCAGCAGCAGCTAAGGCTAGGCTGGGAGGCAGCAACAGAACGACCAGGCTCGCGGGGACCCTGGGATGCTCAGGCGCTCCCAGCTCCTCCCTCGCCTGCGGTCCAGCCTCCGCCGGCGCCTGGCAGAGCAGTCGGCCTCCCGCGGGCTCAGCATCCCTCCTCCTCCTCCATCTCCTCCCGTCCCTCCTCCTCCCGCCCTGGTGCCACCAACCTTGGGCGTGCGGATGTGCTCCATGGCTGGCCCAAGTCTGCAAGGTCCCCGGCGGGCGCGGCCTCACGCACCTGCGTGCGTCTGCGGCGCGACGGAAGGGGCGCGAGGAGGGGGCTTCGCGCCCGGGCGTGGGCGGAACGCGGGCTTGGCTCCGCCCCCAGGTGCGCCTCGTGCGGCGTGCGGACCCTGGGCTCCCGCGCGGCCCTAGAGAGCGCACCTCTGCGCCTGCGCCCACCTGCGCCGTCGCTGCGCCGCGCGCCTGCCGGAGTCGCAGCAGCCAGGGCCTCTCGCTCCCTCTCTAGAGGGGCAGCCGGCGGAGCACTGTAAGGCCACTGTTCCCCGAGACACAAAGAGGGCCTTGTGTTGGGTGTGGTCTCTTGGAAGAGAGGTGGGGAAGTACACACTGCTCCACACCGCCCCGGGGCTTCCTTCCAGAGCGTCCCAAGATAGGTGGGATTTCAGGGTGGGGCGGAAAAGAAGGCTGCCACAGACACTCTAGAACCAGGACGGTCTCGTGGGCTCGAGGTGTTTCAGCCCAGGCGCGGCCGGCATAGCACTTGCGGGTGCGGGTGGAAATAATAGCAGCAGTGTTAGCGCCCTGCTAAGTGCGCTGTCAGGCATCTCACATCCACCTGCGACTTCACGGTTGGAGGCGAACTTTTCCCTTGGCACAGGGTTGGGTGTTCATTTTCTATCTTTATTTAGCTCCAACTCAACTGGGAGATAGAGATACAAAGCATCCATTATGCGGTACCATTTCCCTACTTAGAGACATTAGCAGTAGTTAGTGCCATAGTTAGTATTAAGACCCTTGAGAAGAGCCAAAGAGAAGAACGTCCTCTACTTTTTTTTCTTGCACCCCTAAGAGTACAATGTTCCACCATAACTAAAATTTTATAGACTATTACATAGTTCTTGGAATATCTGTTCAATTTTTTCCTTCCTCTTATCTTGCAGGCCAGGTTGTGATTTATTTCATTTTATTTTATTTTTCCGTAGAGACTCTGCTTATCTCTTTTTGTTCAATGCCTGGACACATTGCAGTATTCCAACAAATAATTAATATGGTATTGAATTTATTTTCAAAATTCCAGGGCCCTCTTTCACACATCTTCTGCCATTTAATCCTCCTCCTACTTTGGGAAGCAATTAGGACTAGCACTATAAACCACCATTTGCATATGTCATGATTGACCCAGGGCGTAATTTCTCCTTTGCCGAAGAACAGCAGGAATAGAGTCAAGAGTGCTCTGGTGCCAACTCACACACTGGCCTCAGTCTCCTCGTTTGTAAAACGAGAAAATTGCCTGCCTAGATAATCTCAGTTAGCTATCATCTCCAAATTCTTTCAATACAAAGAATCTTAAGTACTTTTGTGGAGGGGAACCTTCTAAATAGGCAAATAACATTGAAATTTTGTGCTTTCAGGGTTCTATTCTTCTACTGGTGAGCTGATTAAAAGTCTACTTGGTGAGTAATTTTTGCATGAAATTGTTCCTGGCCTGTTGCTTATTATAATAGATTTGTTTAAAAAACACTAATTGATAGATGAATGGAGGTAAGTCTGAACAATTTAGCATAATGTTAAGGTATTACATCACAAACTGTATTGATCCCTAACAACCACAAAGAACTTTCTGGTACTTATAGTGTTATATAGCCCCCTAAGCTTCCTTGCTCTTCCAACACTACCGAGTAGGGAAGAAGAGATTGAAAAAGTAGCAAGAATTGGAGGGCAGTAAGGTGAGAGAATGAGAGTATATTGTTGAAATGGTTGGCTGTATTCATCCTAAGTAGAGAGAAAAAGAAAACTGGCCATTCATTTACTCAGAAAATATTGCCATTATTTAACTATTGGTCATACTCAAGGTATGATGGCAAATCCTGGAAGATTGAAGGGAGTCCCAGATAAGAAGGACATTAAGTCCTATAATTGTGATATGGCCAACACACAGAAGTAAAAGGCAGACCAACTAAGGTGGTGACAGAGCTTGGAGAAATGCTAAAGAAAGCCTCAAGAAGAATGGTCTACTTTCTCCCTTTCTCCTATTACTTTCGAGAAAAATCAATGGATAGACTTAGGATCATGTACTTCTTGAAGTTTGATATTTGCTGTGTCTAAAATGAACTGTAGTCCAGAAGGATGAATATTGCATCTCTGAGTCTTCACAAAGCAGAAATCTCTCCATCTGGCCCCAGACCAAGAAATGAGAAGGAAGAGAAAAAAAGCTTATCATTCCAACTCTATGTAATTTGCAGATGGAGCCACACTCAGATTTATACCAAATCAGCCTATGTCCACAGAATTGGAAAATGGCTATTTTTTTTCTCTACTATCTGTGACTCTTGGATAGAAAATAAATGTATTTCAACAAAGCTATTTTTATCATCAAGCAAAATATCAGACAATAGAGTTAAGATCTAGTTACCTGCATGTCCACCAAACTGCTTCTTCCCTTGTGAGGGCTCATTGTAGTTGCCCTCATTTTATCATCAGTGTCTGGGATTTTTGCCTCAGGAAATGGTAGGTATTACTGTACACATCAATATTTAACCCTCCTATTCTACCTGGGAACACAGGGACTACACTTCTCAACCCCCTTGCTATCGAATGGGGCCATGTGACTGGTTGTGGCCAATGGACTGTGGAAGTGGCTTATGTCAATTCTGGGCCAAACCCCTACAAAGCCCCTGTGTGGCCCTTCTCTTCTCTCTTCCCCTGTCTTGATGATATGGAGGTCACATGTTGATATTAAAGAGAAAAGGCTGGGTGCAGTGACCTACGCCTGTAATCCTAGCACTTTGGGAGACCAAGGAGGGCAGATCACCTGAGTTTGCGAGTTTGAGACCAGTCTAGCCAAAATGGTGAAACCCCATCTCTACTAAAAATGTGAAAATTAGCCGGTCATGGTGGCGCGCACCTGTAATCCCAGCAACTCAGGCGGCTGAGGCAGGAGAATTGCCTGAACCCGGGAGGCAGCAGATGTAGTGAGCTGAGATTATGCCACTGCACTCAGGCCTGGGCAACAGAGTGAGACTTTGTTAAAAAAAAGAGAGAGAGAGAGAGAGAGAGAGAGAGAGAGAGTAATGATAATGAATTTTCTGTTTAAAAAAAAGAGAGAGAGAGAAAATAATGGTAATGAATTTTCTCTTCATGTTTGAAGTAACTGCAGCCCCAAACTATTTAGTATTAGAATGAAATGAGACAAAAATAGCTTATATTATTACAAGAACTACTGTGGAAAGCCCCAGCTGATTCTTTTGTGAGTGAAAAGAACACTTTTTTGTTGTTGTTGTCACATAAAGCCACTGAGCTTTAAAGCTCAATTTAGCCTAGCCTACCTTCTGGACTACGGTTCCTTCCAGACACACCAAATATCAAACTTAAAGAAGTACATGATCCTAAGTCTATCCATTGATTTTTCTCGAAGAAATAGGAAAAAGGCAGTAAGTAGGCTATTCTTCTTGAGGCTTTCTTTAGTATTTCCACATGCTCTGTCACTACCTTTGTTGGTCTGCCTTTTATTTCCTTGGTGTTGGCCATATCACAATTACCAGATTTAGTGTCCTTCTTATCTGGGACTCCCTTCCAGCATTTGTCGATATAGTCTATGCTATATTGAAGTGGAAAGAGAATTTGAAAGTGAAAATAATACACTGTCTCTACCTTTGTCTTTATGATTTTTTTTTAAAGAGGGAATTGATAATGTCTTTAAAGATCTCTAGGGACACTTACCCATATTAGAGATCTAAACTACTTGATTGTAAATTTCCAAACATCTTCTAGAGAATATCTTCTTATGCAACTTTTATCATATAGATAATTCAGTTGCAAATACTATTGCTAAAAGAATTTTAAAATAAAACTTGATATTAACTGGGCACTTTCCCAGAATCCTGTTATCTTCAATGGCCTGAGGAGATTTGAATACTTATCAAAAACACTTGCAAGACTTTTTCCAGAATACTTACATTTCTCCTGAGGCAACTCAAACTTCTGATTTGGCAGTGAAACCAAAACGTGTTTCTTTGGGGATGGTATTGCTAATGATTACAAACTCAAAACAATCCTATTCTGCGTAATTAAACCCAAGTGGACCATATTATGAGTGGAGGAGGGAACACATCTCTGAACAAGCTCAGCCTCATCTGGAATCACTCAGTATGATAGGCTCAGAGCTGCATTTGGGGTTCTGCCTGGCAAAAAATAAAAGCAGCATATCTTCCTTCAGGATTTGTATAAACCAATGATGCAATGTATCAATGTCTTGTTGGCCTTGCCCTGTGACAAAGATGTGGAGGAAAAGCACTCAGTGGATTGCAGTCAACTCTGCCCTTTTTCTAGGAGCCAAAAGGAAATTCTAGGGCAGCAAGAAAAGAGTATTTACTCAACAGTCAAGGCTTTAAAATAGCCTCCTCCCAAATCTATGAAACTGCTGGAGTAAAACATAGGGGAAACTCTTCAGGACATTGATCTGGGTGAGGATTTTTTGGGTAAGAACTCGAAAGCATAGGCAACAAATGCAGAAAGAGACAAATGGGATTACATTAAATTTAAATGCTTCTATACAATAAAGGAAATAACAGAGTGAAGAGACAACCTATAGAAGGTGAGAAAATATTTGCTAACTATGTGCATTTGGCAAGAGGTTAATATCCAGAATATATAAGGAATTCAAACAACTCAACAGCAGAAAAACCAAATAATCTAATTTAAAAATGGACAAAAATCCTGAACAGAGATTTCTCAAAATGAGACATACAAATGACCAATAGATCTGTGAAAAAGTACTCAATATCGTTAATCCTGAGGAAAATGCAAACCAAAACCACAGCCAAATATCACCTCACTCCAATTAGAATGACTATTATCAAAAAGATAATAGTCATAATAACTAATGATGGCGAGGATGCAGAGAAATGGGAACCCTTATGCACCATTGGCAGGATAGAAATTAGTACAGCTATGATAGAAAACAGTATAGAGCTTCCTCAAAAATTAAAAGTAGAACTACCATATGATCCAGCAATCTCACTAGTGGGTATTTATCCAAAGGAAATGAAATCACTTTGTTGAAAAGATATCTGCCCTCCCATGTTTATTGCAGCACTAGTCACAATAGCCAAATATGGAATCAACCTAAGTGTCCATCAATGGAT